CCCCACCCCGCCCCGGCACGGAGGACTCCATCCTAACACACAGCACATGGGGCTGCACGTTTTTCCACCCCCTTTTGCCCTTCAGCTGAGACCGCCCATGCTCGTGCCACCCGCGAGATGCATTTTGATAATTCCTCTAAGACCACTGTAAGCAGCAGGCACCCAGGCTTTAAGGAAGCCGGTGAAGCACCGCGGCACCAGCGCCGTCGTGCCAACGAAACCCGCATCGCTGGAGACCTGGCAGAAGAGGGGACAGTCGCTCCTGCTGCTTCTGTCCAGCATTTCACTAACTCCTAACACCCCCTCCCCAACGGGCTAGATGCCGTACAGGCTATTCCGGGGACTAGTGTTTACAAATCAGCCAAAGACGCGAGGTGTCCCCTCCGGAGGCAGAGGAGCGAGAGAAGAGAAAGCGGTACTGACTATTGGTCCACTTACATCATTGGGAATAGTAAGTTCATGGGAACTGGTTGGAGTAGTGGCATCCAGTCCTATTCAGGGGACAGAGGGAAAATGTTACGCCGGTTGTTTGCAAGAAGGGCAAGACACAACAAATGATAACTTGAAGAAGGAAACATACAGAAAGAAGGAGGGGAAAAAAAACCCAAAAACGAGAGGAGCAAACAAAAATAGAGAACTGCTAGCGAAACAGAAAAGAAAGCGAGAGATGCAAAACTCAGAGGGCCGGACTAATTTTAGATGTCTTATTTTAATTAACCTTTAAGCCACCAAAGCAACAAATGTCACATGAGATTCCACAGGCTCATAAAAAGCTTCTAGAAAATGAAGGGTTTCCCCTAAAAATAGTCTCTGACGTTTGTTCTAAACGCATCGATTGCAAAATTAATGACTGGCTGAAGTTTGATCTGTCTACCAGGAGTTCTACAATACAGAAAATGAAGGTGGAAGTCGACCAACTAACAGAATAAAATACATAGATAAGAAAAAGAAAAATTAATAAATTAGAATAAGGATGAGGAAATTAACCTAGGAAAGTTTGGAAATTATATGTGGGATTAGTTGCTGAAGTAATGTTGGGAAGGGTAATTTTTGAAGGGCAAAGTACAAAATACTCTAAGCTGCATACATTTGTTTGTAAATTGGCTGGACAAAAGGAAAATGCTCAGGAAAAATGGAATTACTGCTCTAACACAGAGTAACATTACAGAAACATACATCTCACAAATATAACCAGGAAAAGGTTAAGGAGCAGCATGTTAATGACAAGAATAAGGAAAATATAAGGCTAGGAAAGGCAATTTAGTACTACTTGTAGATATTTTATCAGATACATCATGAAGAAATAAAAGTATATTTTGGATGTCATGTTTCTTTCTCTCCTTTTCTCTTTCTTTGGTGTTTATTATTATCTGTAAAGATATACAAAAATACTAATTTCCAACTAGAAAAGATGGAAAAGAAATACTCTCACAAAAAAGTGGCTCAACTACATTTTACTTATGTTTATGTTCAAGAGCTGCGTATGCTTATTTTACATTGAATATAAAACAATGAAGCTGCTCACAGAATTTGATGTATGTGATAAAATGTTATTTGCCATACAAAGCATGTACCAGTACATATCTACTTCTGTTGTGTCAAGTTTTTAGATGCCAAGCATGTATGTAGTGAAGTACAGTAAAAATGACTAATTGCAGGGTTGACTGACTTTTCACTCTTGAATTAAGAATTCAGCTCCAGCTTTAATAAGCATGGACCCAATTTGTGGTCCTTAATTTAACTAAATTTCCATTGCATTTTGTAGCGATATCTGCGTATCTGGTAGGAAGAGAAGCATTTGTCCCAGCAGCGATGATTACAGATGCTCTTAAGACATTTGGCTCTACAAGGAATTCAAGTTTCAATGTGCCATCATTTCTTTAATCAGTATTTCTGTACCATGATTACATGCTGTTTTCCTATGTTTGCTTCTATCTGAACCATGTTACCAAACTGGAAATTTGACAAGATGCACGCCCAAGTACTTGGGACCAACTGGTACATACTGTATGGTCCATAATAACTTTCCAAGGACTGAACAAAAGAAACTCAGGGCTTTTAGCCAATGGCACAAATGAAGCGGCTTATGATTAAATAAATGTTACAAACAAAGCACGTTTTAGTAATGATGAAAGGAACTGTAACGGAGGCACGGCGGGGGGAAGAACAGAGATTAATGTGTAAAAACAGAAGGATTGCTGGTCATTGACCACATTTATTATTAAAATGATGTAATGACCACGGGAAACAAAGCTGTTAAGAAGAAGGACATCCCCAGGGGGTCATGGGTACGTACCAGGGAAACCAGGGGTGGTCTGCCCAAGGGGAGTAAAGGGGGGATGCTGCATAGCCAACTGGTGAAGCTTGGTCAACTGCAGGGCAGGATGGGAAATTAGAACTAACCAATCAAATGGAATTATTTCAGAGCAGAGAAACCATCTTATGTGTTCTAAAACTGGATTAATTAAAATTATATTGAAAAAAAAAAAAAGGTTTACTCATTCAATTCTAATCTACTGTAGAGAAAAAATAAAAACCCAAACTGGTTATAAATGACTTCTCTACTGTTATTACATGTAATGGCTATTGTTAATATTAACTAATTACTGTAGAATTACACATTAAAAGAACTCAAATATATCACATGCAAAGAAAGACCAAGATAACTGTCATTTGTTCCTGGGCCATTGTACTTTCTAGCAATGATTACAGAAGGTAAGAGATGCGCAGGGCAGGATGGGAAATTAGAACTAACCAATCAAATGGAATTATTTCAGAGCAGAGAAACCATCTTATGTGTTCTAAAACTGGATTAATTAAAATTATATTGAAAAAAAAAAAAGGTTTACTCATTCAATTCTAATCTACTGTAGAGAAAAAATAAAAACCCAAACTGGTTATAAATGACTTCTCTACTGTTATTACATGTAATGGCTATTGTTAATATTAACTAATTACTGTAGAATTACACATTAAAAGAACTCAAATATATCACATGCAAAGAAAGACCAAGATAACTGTCATTTGTTCCTGGGCCATTGTACTTTCTAGCAATGATTACAGAAGGTAAGAGATGCAGCTGAGCTAACACGTGGCTCTGCAGTGTCTTGTTCAGGAAAGGCATCCTTAGGCCGCGTCTTTATTGCTAACCGCAGAAAGCAAATGTTGCCCAGAACAAATAAGAGGGAGAGGAAGAAAAAGGGAGTAATTTACATGCGCAGGACTCACGTCTGGATGAGGGATGGCATACTGCCCCTGAATCGTGAACGCCTGAAAACAAGCACAGTTAAGACACAGGTCAGTCAGGTGGGACAAGCAGCGTTCCTGTTTCCATCAGAAAAGCTCCTCCTGGCTCCCCAGGCACATGCCACCCCCATCGCTTTCGACACTGAGTGAAGCTTAATTGTCTTGTGCTGCTTGATAACGCATGGCATGGGACAGGAAGGTCTCAGTTGGGCTGCCTGCACAGCCCTTGCAAGCAGGGGATGCCAGCTGCCACTGCCTGAGCTCTGGTGATCCTCAAGGGACCCCTCTTCAGCCCAGCTCTGTCTGCTGGGAGCAGCGCTGGGGACACCATGGGGGCTAAGGAGGTGGCTCCTCCCCCTCCCTGCTGCCCTAGTCACCCAGTGCCACCGATGGATGCGGGGAGATGCTGATGCTGGGGCAGCAAGGATGGGACAGACATCCAACTCCCGACTGCCGTCTGCAGCTCTGAACCACCTCTTCTGGCTACTGACAGCCACAGACGCCAAATGCCAGCAAACATATGCCTTGGTGCACCCCATGGGACTCACGCCCCAGGCTGCCACGCCAGCAGGCATGTGAGCACGCATGCTGGAGGGCAGCCTGTCCTGGCCAGCGGGCCAGCATGCCAGTTCGGAGGTAGGAGCATGATGGAGACCCCCAGCATGGTGGTCTTATCTTCCACAAGAAGCCAAACAACCCCCCTTCAAATCCAGCCTCTCTGCACCACAAGAGCAGTGCAAGGGATATAGTTTCTGGCAGCGCTCCTGGCAGCACTGGGGTGAGGTGGGGAGACAAAAACAAGCACATGAGCGAGGAGGGATATGGTGGCACGTCTGGCACTAGTTAGCACAGCCCTTCATCTCTCCTGCTGGCTCTGTTCAACTTTCTGTAATGGCCTACAAAGAAAAAACCATAGCGAGTTTATCATTTTCTATCGTATCCTGTAGGGCTTTTCTGAATGGAACGGCATGCCAGAAAAATGTTAATGCGCTTGTGCCTGGGTAGGCAGGAAAGCAGAAGGACAAATTATAACATATAAATATTTGTAGTGGGAGAATTATAAACAGGAACAGAGCTGATTAGCTTAGTTTGCAAAATGCTTATTTGACAAAAGGCCTCTTAGAAAGTAATGAATCCTCTGCAAATGATAAAACAATTCATTTAATGGAGTTCGGATATTAAAACCTTTAATGCCCCAACTGCTTAATGCACGTTTCTGCAGCAGAATTTCCCTTCTGGAGGAGAAACATTTCATTTAGTTTTTAAATTAGTTATAAAGCCATAAAGCAGGGCCGCAATCCGGCAAACATTTATGCACATGAGCAGTTTTCAGGCAGAAGTGCGTGTGACTGGGCTCAATGGGATGCTCATGGGCGTACACACTCACGTGCACCGACAGGGGATGGCCATTACAGACGGTCTATAAATGGCAAGCAAAGGTTCCAGTTGACCGAAACGGGGGATCACTGCTGTCAGGGGCTCCCTTACAGGCACATATTCAAGCAAGCAAAGCATGCGTTTAGATGTTTTACCATAAGAGGACAACCCTAAGGAGATGTTATGCTGCTTTGCTGAGTGGGGGCTCTGCACGTAGCCCCAGGGAGGTTATAGCTGGAAGCGGCGCTGGGCAGGGGCTCAGGCCCGTGAGTAAACTGCGGCTTTGGAAACCACACTTTGGTCCCTGAGCCTCTGTGCTGGTTCACAAGTGTCCTTTCTGATCTCGGCTTTACTTCAAGCCCAGCTGAGAGAACGTCTTTTACAGAGGTGCTTCCCAAGCAGTGGTCTGCAAGCCAGCAAGAAACCACCGCAAAAAAAATCACCAGCAAACCTAATAGAAGTCACCCCTTTCTTCATCACTCTGCTCCCTCATACTCCCATGTATACATATGAGGAAGCAAACAAACTGGAGAAATAACAAAAATAATGAACATTCAGAGCTCAGACTAGCTTTTATTTGGTTGTCAATGAAAACCATGAAAGCAGCATGGACAAGACGGGTCTTGAATTTTCTTTCCCAGAAAAAAAAAAAAAGGTCCTAATTTCTTAGGTTTCCAAAAGGTCATTTGATAGATTTAGGTTCAGAAAAACTGCCTTTGTCTGCTTTTACCCCTTGGCAGAGGAACTGCGCCCTTCTGTGGCTGAGGCATACTAAGTGCAAGCCTGGTAGAGGCTACGGAGACTTCTGTATTGCAACATTTCACTAAGGACATGAGCTACGGGTCTGCTTCCATCAAAGTCAAGGGCAACCTTCCTACTGATGTACTGAAATTAGTAACAGCAGGA